GACCTCAGTTCCAAGTGCCTGACCATGCCCGCGCCCACTCTGCCGCGCACCCCCCCCGCCCCGCGGCGCTGTCGCTGTAAATATTCAGATTGCAGGGCCTCTGGGTCTCAATCAAGTAGGTATTCCACTGGAGTCCTCTGACAGTCGCACTGCCTGTAGCATGCGTGTCGGATTCCCCTGAACTTCGAGCTATGGTGCTCGGCGTCACTGAGGAACAGTCCCTTGTGCGGCCACCATGCCGCACTGCTCCTCCGCTCGTGGGTCGCCCCTGCAATTCGCTTGCACGGGCCCAGTCTGCATCTCCGTCCACGAATGCCTTCAGGAGCGCCCTGCAAAGGATAACACCAAACCAACACAGGCTGACCTTCATAGTACCGTACAAGCCGCTGAACTCGCGCATGCATCAGGACGTTGGGACTTGAGACGTGCTGCATCGCGGCCTTGCTGGCACACATCGTGTCGGGCCTGTCCGAAGAGAGGTAGAGCGCCGTGCCTGCTGCACCTGCAACTTCCCGAGCTCGCCCCTTGAACAGAAGGTCTAAGCTGTCTCGTCGTCCTTGTCCTGTAGCTTTCGCCCCTGGAGTAGGAGCAGGTTTGCACCCTCGCTCTTGCGCCCACTGAATCATGGAATCGACGTGCTTAGGATCCGCTGTCCAGGAGAAACCTGGACCCCCTGAGCCTGGCTGTCGGTGTACCCGATGATCCCCTTGAGGTAGTTCGTCCGCCCAGGTCTTCCAGGACCCAATCTGGCACCCACTGTGACCTCGAACTGCTGCTTCAGCAATTCGTCCAACTCGTCCAGCTGCTCGTCGTAGCCTTCGGCCAGCAAGTCATCCCGGTGGCAGACCGCTGCGCTGTCCTCGTCGGCGGCAGGGATGTTGGGACTCGCTGGCAAGTAGAAAGCGCTGGGTATCTCACCACCAGGCATTCCCCGTGGCCGTCGTCCATGGTAGTCCGCAGCAGCTCCCCCCACATCTGCGATGCCTTCCTGGCGCCGTTCATGGCCTCCGCAGCCACCAGCACCTTCCAGGAAGGCACAACTCGCGCCCAGGATAAACGTAGATCGTCTCATCAAGGTCGGCGTTGAAGAAAGCCTTCCTGACGTCCCGGACCTGGATCATCCGCTTGCGCCCACTGTCGAAGTAGGGCACGATGCGGCACGGCTTAACATCGCCCTTACAATCATGAGCGGCGGCGTGCCTTACTGGTTGTCATCGCGCACCTCGTGCTTGTTGATCTCCGTCGCTACGAACCTCCACCTGACTCGGCCTTCCTTATTCCTTCATGTGGGCTATGGGGAAGCCTCCGATATGCTTGCCGTCGGTCGCCGTCGACGTCGCCACCTCCACGTGGACCCCATGGTCCTTCATGGCCTGCAGCTAATCGTCGCGACCCTTCTGGTACAGATCCCCGTCCAGAGTTCTCCAAGGTAATCGTAGTGCATCGTCGTTGGGCTCCACTGGTCGTGCTCGTACAACTCGGCACCGACCTCAACCATCTGCTCGATCTGCTCCTCTTCGGGTTCCCCTCAAGACTCCTGACCGTGCCAATGTGGTGCAGCAGGCAGCGCCTGCGTGCACGCTCACCTCGGCGGCACTCCGTCAGCTGGCATCTCGACAAATGCTTCGCACACCTATCTGAGCACATTGAACTTCGCTTCGGGCGTGGATCCCACATCGGGTCGAAAGTCTCGTCGTAGCCTTCCTCGCAGACTGCCAATGCACAGACAGAGAGCATACCAACGGTTGCTACTCTCGGTTTCTTGATCCCCACTTCGGCCCTGGGTTATCCTGGGGCACCTCGGTGGAGGTCGCTCCTGAACTGATCAGTTTCCGTCTGCGTGGCTGTCTGTGCTTCTGCCTCTCCTGGGACAGGAGGCATGGCCTCGTCCTCTGCAGCAGGCGCGGGCATTACCGCTACCTCGCTGCTGCTCGACGCCGCTGCTGGCCCAGCCGCTGCCACAGGCGCGGGAGCTCGCGCAGCCGGGGCCGGCGCCACCACCGTAGCCTCTGGGGCCACAAGATCCTCCTCCAACTTCTCGCGCAGGAGGTCGGCCTGGATGGGCTCAGACCGCTGACGGCAGGCTGCCGAATGCAATCCATGCCCAGCGCTGCATTTCCTGCAGTCGTCGGTCGGGCCGCGAGCGTCGATCATGCGCTCCGCGAGGTACATCCTGCGCCCGATGGGCCCTGCACCCCCGTCAGGGATGTGCTTCCACGGCGCCGCCCATGAGCTCAGGCTGCCACCGAATCTCCTCTGGAATCCTCCGCGCGGCCCCGACCTTCTGCACGCCGCGCGCCGGGTCGATCACGAGGCGAGCGCCGCCCAACTCGTTCTTTCCAACCCAGATCCCTGTCGCGAAGCGGGCCTCCCACTTGTCCAGCAGCAACTCGGGCTGAGATCCTATGCCAGACCTGCTCGCCCATCTCCGCGATCTCCCAAGTGTACTCCTTGCCGCGCAGCATCGTGGAAAGAACCCCCGTGGCTTCGCGGCTGGAACCTGGCGATCACCCTGCCCGCCGAGTTGACGAGCCAGGGCGCGATCGGACCCGCCATCTTGATCTCGCGCCCCAACCTGTGTTCCAGCTTTAGCTTGTAGGTCCGTAGCACACATGCTGCAAGCTTGTTGGCACCCTCGGCATAGCCAGCACTCTGCTTGGAGAAACGCGGTGATCCCCGCACCAAGGTAGAGTGCGACCTGCAATATTGAACTGCGTTCGCCAGGGCCATCGCGGCAGGCCCCTGTTCTGGTTGAAATACAGCTATCAGGAAGGATACCTCGTAGTCATCCAACTCTGCGTTAGCATACAGCGTCGCCTGTGCCAGGATTTCGCAATCGACCGCGTTCAGAACCGCGATCGCCTGTTCGAGATTTGCTTTCGTCACCAGCGGGCTTCTCGCGGATGCTGAAGTAGCCTCCCTTGAGTTTGTACTTGACCGCCAGCTGGTCAGTTCCAACGTACAAGATATCGAATACCACCTTCGGCACTTGCTTCTCGTCCGCTGGCCACTGCACGTAGCGCGGATCGTCGTCCGCTCGAGCTTCCACGCACAGCGGACACAAGGGGCGACAAGGTAGGTGATGCCCTTCGCGCGCGGCCCCCCCCGCTGCACTAGGTTGGCAGGGTGATTTCAGCACTCTCGTCGGCACAGCCGTAGCCTCGCCCGCCTCCGGGTCGAGAACCCTCGGCCAAAGATCCAGCTTCTCGTTCAGCTGCGACCTTCCGCGGTAGCGTCTTCCCCGCTGCTGCTACCTACGCGGCTGTCGGTTGGGTCTTGCCGTCTATGATGTGAGTATACTCTAAGTAGTAGTTGGCCTGATGACGTCGTAGAGGTGCGAATTCAGCCCCTTCAGTGGTTCGACGGTGCCATTGATCATCCAGTGGCCTGCAGGGCCATGGAGAACGCCCCGGCCCCGTTGCACTACCGCATCTGCGGCCACAACGGGATGCTCCACATCGGCAACCTTCGCGCCACCTCTCCTCCCCTGGACAGGTTAAGCTCCACATGCCCGAACCTCTCGATCTCCTCGCCTCCGATGCCCTTCAAAGCCAGCGACGTTGCTGGCCGCCGGCGTGTAATTGTACAGGGTCACCTGCTTTCTCGGCACAGCGATGATCTGCGCGCCTGAGCCGAACGTGATGGCATTCCGAAGCGGGGCTAACCGCAGTCGGTCGTCTTCTGGCACCTGCTCTCGTTGGCCTTCGATCTCCAGCAGCGCGGGCCCGACCGCAGCTGACTCGCAGCAGCGGCAAGAAGTCGAACTTCGGGCGCTCGTGCTTGCCCAGGCAGTATTCTGCGCACGTCCCGCAGAAGCCCAGCTTCCACTCTTCGCAGTGCCATCTTCTGCCCCTGAACATTTTCTTGCACGAGATGCAGATGAACTCGCGATAGGCGGGCAGGGTGTACTTCCAGTCGATCCCGTGGGTTCGCGCTTTGCGACCTCGGCCCCCAGGCCCATTATCATCTTCGCTCGCAGCCCTCTGCAGACTGGCGAGGTGACGGCGAATGTCACTGCGCTCTGAGCACTGCTGCGCGTCCCTGGCAGAGGCTGCGCGTGCATCGTCGACCCTGTCGCTGGAGCTACTCATGCTTGCCGCAACCTCTCGAGCTGTTTTCACTGCTGCTGCCGCGACCCTTTTCTTCTTTTTGACCTTGTCTGTTTCTGCACTGCATCTTGTCCCTGTTGTCGTGGTCGGCGGCTGCCTGCTTCTCGTCGGCTATCCGCTCGCGGCAGTTGGCGCTTCGGTGGCCTTTCTTGTGACAGTAGTTGCGCTCCAGGTCGGCGTCTGGGTTCGGCGGCCTCTCCTTGCCATTGCCTCCCTTGCCTTTGCCGCGGCTCTTCCACGCCTTCTCGTCGCCCTTCAACCCGCCGATGCCCATCGGACCGTCGTGGGCCGCTCGCTCCGGCGTCAGCGCCGACGCGACTTCGGCTCGCAGGAGCTCGCACATGCACAGCCGACTGCTGTTCCGAAACACGTGTTTCTGCAACTCCGCGTGGTCCTTGAGCGCCTCGGCGAGGATTCCTCGCGCGATCAGGTCCGACACGGGCTCGCCCGACATCTTCTGGTACCTCGCCATGTCCTCGACGAGCTTGCTGATGATCACCATCACGTCGTCTGTCGCTTCGAACTTCGTGTTCGTAAGCTTGGTCCACATCGCCAGCACGTTGCCTGCTTCGCTTGGGTTGCACTCCTTCTGAAGCTGCCCCCCGCAAGCTGCTCCTTCAACCGTGCTGATGTTCCTGACGATCATGTCGCCTACCGAATCTTCGGGCATGACTAGGACCAGGGCGAAGTACAGCTGCGTGCTTAGATCCTCCTCTTGGGCTGACAGGTTTACGTTGTCCACGTCCTGCGTTCCATCTTCGCACTTCTCGAGAAGAGGTCGATGCCTTCGGTTTTGCGCGATCACGTAGGCCTTGCACTGGAAGCTGAACGTCTTCCAGCTCGTTTTCTGACTGTCGAACGGCTTCACTTTGTGAAGAAGATGCGGGCCCATCATCTCGTCACGAGGCCCTCGTTCTCTGCCGGCTTGTCCTTGAAGCTGGCCTCGCATCTCGGCTATCGCTGGATCTCGCTGCTGAAGCTCGTTCCTCATCTGCAGACTCTGTCATCAGCCTGTGCACCTGCTCGACCAAGTCCCGCACTTGACCCTCCATCTTCCTTGTCGGCCTTCGCCTGACGCTGGAGATTGAGCGCGAGCTGTCGCTTCACCGCTGCTCGCTCCTCTTCCGTAAGCTGAGCGGCGTCACCGCACTCGGCCAGCTTCCTCCAGGCGTTCCCTCGGTTCTGGCGGTGGGCTCTCGTCTCTGGGGCTCTGCCACCGCGCTTGTTCGCCTTCTTCGCCTTGCGCTTGCTCGCAGGCTTAGCCTTGAACTTACTCGAAGGCTCGAGTCGAACTCTCGTTCTGACCTCCTCGCCAGGGCGCGGGTCCTCCCGCAGCTCTGGCCAGCAAGGGGTATTCCGTTGGAGAGCAGCGCGAATCATCGCGCCTCTGCTTCCACGGTCCTTCCGCCGGTGGGTCTCCTCGAAAGGCTCCTGGAGCTCGCCGGGTGCGGAGCTGGCCCGCGAACCTCAAGCGAATTCCGCTACCATGCACGTGCTCCCCCACCCCCGTCACGGAGAAAGGGGAAGGGAGGGCTGTACATTTTTCTTGAGCAACAAAGGGCTGCAGGATTTCGGGTCATCGCCCAAACAGTCTGATTATGTGTTGAAATAATCATATATATAACCATATATATATATCTCAGTAAAACTACAAACTTCCCAGCATGACCAGAAGTCCGAGGCGAATCCAACGGTGACGACGAGGGCCTTCCAGGAGGCCCAGAAAGGGGAAAACGGGCGAAGGGCAGCGGTATGGATATTACACCACAGAAAAACCCCAATCAGTCGATGGCTTGATCGATGAGAAAATCGACCGGGAACCCGGGAACCCGGAACCCACCGAAATCGGCCCAAAACCAATAAGCAGGAAACCGGGAACCCGGAACCGGAAACCCGGGAACCCAGCCAGCCACCAACATCGGCGGGACACTTTCGCCAAACCTTCCGATTTCCGCTAGGACCCATTCAGTGTAAGCACTGAGTGGGGAACCTTTTTCTTCTCTGACCCCCGCCCCCCGCGCCCGCACCCCCCGCGAACAGCCGCCGCGAGCCATCGGGGCCAGAGGGGCGCGCCCCCGACAGGAGCGCGTTTCGCGCCGACGAGGCGGGGGCCCTGGGCCCCCCCAGCGAGTCCTCACGGCACGCGGGGCTGGAGGGTTTCTCCGAAGGGCTTTAGGCGGCCCGTCCTCCCTCCTCCTCCTCCTCCTCCTCCTCCTCCTCCTCCTCCTCCTCCTCCTCCTCCTCCTCCTCCTCCTCCTCTCCCCCTCCCCCTCCTCCTCCTCCTCTTCCTCCCTCCTCCTCCTCCTCCTCCTCCTCCTCCTCTTCCTCTCTTCCTCCTCCGGTCGCCCACAACCCTGGGAGAAACCGTGCACGCGGGGCGGCGGAGAGGCGGGGCCCCGAAGCGGAAGCTGGAGGAAACGGGGGAGGCGTCGACCCCCATCCTGTCTCCGAACTCGTGGCGGTGTCGAGTGGGCAAGAAGTTTGGGGCCCAAGCCGGGGACGACTATGCGGGGGGGGGCGTCCATGCTCGACGGGGGCGCGCGCGAAGAGCCTCCCGGGGGGTGTATCCCATGGTCCCCCTATCCTGCGCGGCCTAACTGTTCGGGCGTAAGCCGGATCGGGGTCGAGAAATCACTTGCGATTTGACTCGCCATCGCTCGGACGTCCATTTCCCGTGTATTGTTCGGTTTCGTGCGTGTTTCTTTTGCTCGATGGTCCAGGATCGTCTTCAATAGTTCTCGCCGAGAAAAAATGCACACGTCCGAGCGATGCCAGGATGAGTGAGGCTCCATGAGAATAAGAATGGCCAGGGCTCGGCAGAACCGGCAGGGGCGAAGGCGGCCCCGAGCAACTGGGGCGAGGTCGCCAAGGCTGGAAGAGCAATAGGGAAACTGGCTGGGGCTGGCAAGAGCGGAAGCGCTGGACCCAGTCACCTTTGCTCCAGCTTCGCTGCAAGAGGCAAGGACAACACGTTTCGCTCCCGTGGATTGGTTCCTCCCAGCACACCGCACAACGGCCTGTTCCAGGCGCTCCAAGGCCGTTAGAACTCGTGCGAGAGCAGCCCACAACGCAATACGTCTCTTCAGGTGGAGCGGACAACAAATTCACGCGCGACCAGACGTGGGCAACTTGCGCACGATTGTCCGCGCCTTTGGACCCCTGTAGGTCACATAACTTCGAGCATCGCGTTCCGCGATGCGCGACGCACGGTTATCCTCGCGCCCTCGCACCGCCGCCCTGGAGAAGGGCGCCAATCCAATCCAAGCCGCGATGCGCAAAGCGCGATTCCGTTCGCGCCCATGGTAATGACTTACACCCCTTGTTATTCTCTGCCGCTTGCCTGCACGTTCGGCACCTCGACGATCCTCTCCTGGACCTGGACCTCGATTTTGGGGACGTGGTGCACGACCTGACGTGGACGCGTGGCCGCCGCTCTAGGGAAGCGGCAGCCGACTTCATCAGTGTTCCTCTTCCTCCTCCCCTTGGTCCTCCTCCTCCTTCTCCTCCTCCTACTCATGTACGCCTCCTCCTCCTGCTCCTCCTCCGCCTCCTCTTCCTCTTCCTCCCCCTCCTCCTCCTCCTCCTCCTGCTCCTCCTCCTCCTCTTCCTCCTCCTCCCTCCATCCCTCCCTCCCTCCGCCATCTCGTTGCCCTCCTCCTCCTCCTCCTCGACCCCAGGCGTGTAGCCGCATGGGTACGTTTTGCTGAGGGCGACATGTCGATGTGCTCTGCCTCGCTCTGTTCGACTGCGGCCGCTTCTCGGGCTGCAAACTCGCTATCCTCCTCGATCGGAGAGAGTGTGTCCTCCAAGTGGCTTATATGATCGTTGAGATCGTCTTGATGCTCCTGCATGGCTGCGATCTTCGCGGCTACATTGTCGATATGAGTGCGTAACTCCTGTTGGGCTGATATCATTGTTTCTCTCTGGTCTCCAATGGTTGCATGAAAGCCAGCTGTTGCTTCATCATGCGGATCTCCTCGACATTGTCGGGGTCGCAGTTGCAAGCGTACCCACCCGGTGGCCAAAACAAGGGTTACAACTGCATTCAGTATGCGGACATCCTGTCGGCAGTCCTCCGATTGAGCTGAGCAGGTAGGCGGCTCTGTGAACAACCCCTGAACCCGAGCACGCCGAGGGGTCAAATTCGGGAAGAGGGGAACAAAAAGTGACGCAAACATAAAAACTCGGAGATCCGCGCGGATCTCTCGGATCGGCGCTGGACCCCCCTCGCTGGCGCGCGGAGCGCGCCAGGGGCGGCGCCGGAGGCGCCGCCCGGGGGCCCCAGCGCCGATCCGAGAGATCCGCGCGGACCTCCGAGTTTTTATGTTTATGCCACTTTTGCTCCCCTAGGGATACCATCGATCAAGCTCTGCATACCACGCTGGCTCAAACTGTGCCGTGGTTGGGCGACCTGGCGCCCAGAGAGGCCGGCGCCACGCGGGCGTCGACTTCGGCTTCTGGGCGCGATGGCCGGCGAGGCGCCGCCCGAGGCCCGGCCCTGGGTGGTGGGCCAGACCTGTGGCCATTCCATGCTTCGGGAGGGGAAAAAACACACAGACACAATGAATCGTCGGTTGCCCAGAAAGTATGGGGAAATATGGGAAATGGGGGGGGAAGTCAAAAACCCAGAAGACATAGGAAAATAGGGGGAATCCTTTTGCTCGTATGTACTTATTTGTGTGCCCCAGGGCCCCTTCAATGTTGCCCACACCAGCACTTCCAAATGTGTAGTGTTGGAGGCCTAGAAATCGGCACCAACACCAACACAGGGGTTTTGCCTCCACATGGGGAAAATGGTCCTAGACCTCGGTGTTGGTGGCAATCTTTCGGTCACCTTGGGAGCCAGAATATTAGCACCATCACCGAGATCGGGATCGTCTTCCCTCGGTGGAAGCAGAACGCCGATCTTGGTGTTGGTGTCAACCTCGAGGCCTGCGAAATGATGATGAAAACGAGGGCGAACATGCAACTGGCACCGTAGGCTCGTTCGCAGCTTTGAGGATCTCGACACCCTACTGTGTGAACCCGGGGGTCGAGAAATGGCTGACGTGGCGGCCAACTGCCTCGGGCAGTGTTTTACGTCGACCAAAACGAATTGAACCAAAATGGTTTGAATCAAAATCAGAAACGGTGCCTCCCTCCCCCAGGGGCGAGAGGGGGAGTCATGTTCATGATACGCATTTGAAATGCGGGGGTCTTGCTTCAGGCAGGCCGCTTCACAAGCACTCGGCCCAAGTCGGGCAGGCCCCTCGGGAGCCGAGACGGAACTTCCTTCCCCGCCGCCGAGGGACATGGACCTCGAAACGGGTGGCCACAAACTCCTTTCTTTCATGATGTGGGGAGGGCTGACCGTGCACACGCCTCCACACGCCTGGCAATGCAAGACCCTGCGCAGCAACGCCATTTAGCGGGGCGATCGGCGCTGGACTGCCACTTGCCGTCGCTCGGACGTCCATTTCCCGTGCATTGTTCGGTTTCGTGCTGTTTTTTTCCTCGATGGTCCAGGATGGTCCTCGTTGTCTCTCGCCGAGAAAAAATGCACACGTCCAAGCGATGCCAAGGCCAACGGGCGGCCCAGCGCGCCACCGCACACCAGAGATGGGCCCAAACAATCCAGGGGAGGCTCAGGGTCCCCACTCCTCCTCCTCCTCCTCCTCCTCCTCCTCCTCCTCCTCCTCCTCCTCCTCCTCCTCCTCCTCCTCCTCCTCCTCCGCCTCCGCCTCCTCCTTCTCCTTCTTCTTCTCCGTTCTCCCCCTCCGCCCTTCCCCCTCCTGCTCGTCATCCTCCTCTCCCTCCTCCCCCTCCTCCTCCTCCTCCTCCTCCTCCTCCTCCTCCTCCTCCTCCTCCTCCTCCTCCTCCTCCTCCTGAACCACCTGGACCTGGGAGGCAAAACCGACATCCGCCGCTGGACAACGCACCCGGGTGTGCACGGAGTCGGCCAGACATCAGCAAGCCTACCGCGGCGATGGACACCGAGGCCACAAGCATCACAGCGCACAGAAAACACCTTGGCATTGGGAGCATGGCCCGAATCTCAGAGCCGACAGAGGCGAACAGGCAGAGAAGTGATGCTCCCACGAGTTCGCTGCGGCTCGCAGGGTCTACTCGTTCTCGGGCGAAGCGGGGGCATCTCTCTGAACTGCTAACAATCGCTTCAACACATTGATGGTTAGATCATCTGCCCCACGGGCGGCGGCTGCATCCTCCTCGCTGACTCCTCGCTGGCTTAGGACTGTTCAGCCGCCCAAGCAGCGAATCGATCAGCCGCCTTATCAAGGTAAACATGTACCTCATCATATATACAGATATACAGATACAGTTTAACATCTTGGGCATGGGTGGAGCGTCCTTTAGTCCATAAGACGTTGCAAAAACCTCGCTCGGTGTTCAAGGGCCCTGTGAAACATAACCCGGAAAAGGTCCAACATACTCGCTTTCCTGAACGCCATCAAACTGCGTCTGGCCCCTTCCACAACCAAGAGGCAGTCGCAGTGCACCTGGGCATCTTCAGTACTAGCCATCGCCACCTGGATGAGCGCGACATAATTCGGCACGAGGGGAAGATTGGCGCGCTCAGGGTCCATCATCGGCACCCAAGTGGACAATTGCCCATCCGCACCTACGAAAGAGCCAGTCCTTACACACTTTCCCCCTGGCTCCGTCTGCCCAAAACTTCTCCTTTGATCTTCCTCACATCCTGGAAACGGCCCCAATTCTAGGTGAGGCCCCGCGGAGGAGGAAGGTGGCCAACAGAGGCATTCAAAGGGGGGGGGGCACCAAAAACTAGCCTGCACCAGGCGCAGCGAGCGCAGTATCAGACACGTGCTGGATTATCTCAATCGCCTGATCTTGAATCTGATCATTACATTCACACTCCCAGAACCGATGCAAGGGGGTCTCAACTGAGGCGCCGCACCTCCTGCAAACACCCGAGGTGGCCGGGACATAATCTGCGGTGTAACCTGCCCTCAGGCCAGAAACCAGCCGTCAACAGAATTCCCCAACTGCCAACGGTTTCGTGCTCACCGTCTCGGGCGAGTTTGACAGGGTACCTCCTAACGACGGTGACGTCCACTCCTCCCTCGAACCCCCAGCCCACAGTAATGTCAGGCAGCATTGCCCCCAAAATGGCAGAACGCGTGGCCTGAAAGGCAGAACACAAGAGAAAGGGGAAACCATCCGCCACCGTGCCGCTGAGCACGGAGTGGGCGTGTCCTCAGGTCCTGGGCCCAGTCCTCTAAGCCTCAATCCTCACTCCCGAAGAGCCTTGAAAGGGGCCTGGGCCCCTCGTTCTCAAATATTCTCGGGCTTGGCGCGTCTCCTCGCGCGACTTTTTCGGACCCAAGAGGGCCCAAACCCACAACCCGGGCACAGTGGCGGGATGGGCCGAAGGTCATTCGAGCAATCGGTGCCCCTCCACTCGTCACCCCCGCTACGGGCTGAAGAAGGTTCTCTCTTAACACCGCCAGTGTCCAATGCCGCGTAGCATCAAACATTATGTGAGCGATGGTTGCACCATGTGATCCAGTGGCCGAACACACTCTGCGCTTGGGATGTCCACGCACACTTCGCCTGTTATACTGTGGCACAAGAATGCAACCTCCCGGTCAATACATGTTATCACTACACTCCGTTCTTGTCCACGTGTTTGCGCCCGCGACGTGTATGGGGCACCTGACAACTTAAGAAGACGTCTCAAGCGAAACCGCGCCGAAACCGTGAGAAACCAAGCAAACTGCGAGGACGTCGAAGGCGAAGTCGCACCTACACCAGGCGAAACCAGGCGAAACCAGGCAAAGTGCGAGGACGTCTCGGGCGAGACCGCGCCCAAACCAAGCGACACCAAGCAAATTGCGAGGACGTCTAGAGCGAAACCGGGCCGAAGCCAGGTGAAACCAGAGGCGAAAGCAAGTAACTTGCGAGGATGTCTCAAGCGGATGTGCCGCCCAGCCGGGCCAAACCAGGCGAAACCAGGGACGAAACCATGCAAATTGTGGGGATGTCCTGGGCAGAATCGCCGAAACCACGCTCCATCCAGTCTCGTGGATACAATTCGAACGAGAGGAGTGAATGACACGAGAGCCCCCCCCCTCAGGGGCAAGTCCGTTTACAATTTTGTGGGGGGCCTTTGGACCACGTGTCCGCTGAGGCGGACAGGGTTGGGCGCGGAAGGTTCCATTTTTCGTCTGGTTGTTGTTGTTGTGGCCTTGGTGTGGCGTTCGGAGAGATGTTTCCGAGCCTGTAATGCGCCAAAAAATTAAGACGGGGACCCACCCGAGGTCCAATCACACCGCGATGGTTGCAGCGATGGGTCTCGCAACAATTTGCCAGTGAATTTTGGTACGTTTAACCATCTGCAAAACCTTAGGACACTGCATGCTGGATGTGTGGTCCAGGTCGTTCCACAAATTACTGAAAGTTGCTCATACGTAAATTTAGACGGGGGGGGGTCTTTAGCACTGCTGACCAGGTCCAGCACGGTCGCGGTGCACGCAAGAGGGGTCCACCACCCAGAGCACGTGGCAGCCTGAGCTCTCATCGACTGGACCTGGGCTGGAAACAACCCAAGGACCTCATGGCCCCAGGACCCAACGGGCAAAACACCAGGTTTGCAAAGCTTGTGCGCATGCCCAACAAGCTTGGACAGGAAACGAACCTTCTCACACTTCTTGACAGCAATTGCTCGTCTACGCTGCAACAGGTGAGTGGCGCGGCTTTGCAAAACACTTGCGTTGACACCTAGGACCCAATTTCCGAACAGCAGGCCTGCGTTGGATTAGCAGGCCGGCACTCTTGAAAGGAATCATGATACCCTCCCCCAGCCGCTTGCCTTTGCCGGGCCCTTCCCCCTAGTCTCCCCCCCTTCCCATTCCCGCATGGATTGGGGGGGGCGATAGAGGGGCAGGTGGAGGGGCAGAGCGAGCGGCAGAAGGGGAGAGGAGGTAAGGGTGGACGCGGGGGTGAGGGGAAGCCGAGAGGAGTGCAGGCCAGAGCAGCCCTGCGCCCGAGCTCTCCCCCCCTCCTCCCTCCTCCCTCCTCCCTCCTCCTCCACTTTCTCCTCCCCTTTCCCCTCCCTCCTCCTCTACTTCCTCCTCGCCCCTCCGCCTCCTCCAACTCCTACACCACCTTCTTCTCCTCCTCCTCCTCCTGCTCCTCCTCCACCTCCTCCTCGTCCTCCTCCTCCTCCTGATTATCCTCTTCCTCCTCCTCCTCCGCCTCCTCCTCCTCCTGCTCTTCCTCCTCCTCCTCCTCTCCCTCCTCATCCTTATCCTCCTGCTGCTCCTCCTCCTCATCATCCTCCTCTTCCTCCTCCAGTTCCTCCTCTTCCTCCTCCAGTTCCTCCTCCTCCTCCTCCTCCTCCAGTTCCTCCTCCTCCTCCTCCTTCTCCTACTCCTCCTCCTCCTCCCTCCTCCTCCTCCTCCTCCTCCTCCTCCTCCTCCTCCTCCTCCTCCTCCTCCTCCTCCTCCGCATCGTCATCATCATCATCATCATCATCATCATCATCATCATCATCATCATCATCATCATCATCATCATCAGCAGCAGCAGCAGCATCATCACCTTCCTCATCCATCATCACCAGCAGCATCCACATCAGCAACATCATCATCATCATCATCATCATCATCATCATCATCATCATCATCATCATCATCATCATCATCATCATCATCATCATGATCATTAGAATCAGCATGGTGATGACCCGCATCATCAGCATCATCATCATCATCATCATTATCAGCAGCAGCAGCATCACCATAATCATCATCAACAGCAGCAGCATACTCAACACCATCATCACCATCATCGGCAGCAGCATCACCGTCAGCATCATCATCGTCAGTATTACCAGTATACTCCTCACCATCATCAGCATCATCGTCAGCAGCATTATCACCATCACCAGCAGTATCACCATCATGATCAACAGTGTCGTCATCATCATCATCATCATCATCATCATCATCAGCATCAGCATCAGCATCAGCATCATCATCATCATCATCATCATCATCATCATCATCATCATCATCGTCATCGTCATCATCATCATCATCATCATCATCAGCATCAGCATCAGCAGCATCAACACCAGGATCAGCATCAACAGCATCCTCGGCAGCATTATCAACATTATCATCATCAGCACCATCATCACCATCATCATCACAATCATCATCATCATCATCATCATCATCAGCATCATCATCATCATCATCATCATCATCATCAGCATCAGCATCAGCATCAGCATCATCATCATCATCATCATCATCATCATCACAATCATCAGCATCATCATCATCATCATCATCATCATCATCATCATCATCATCATCATCATCATCATCATCATCATCGTCATCATCAGCATCATCATCATCATGAATATCATCATCCTCATCCTCATCCTCGTCGGCATCCTCATCCTCCTCCTCCTCCCTCCTCGTCCTCCTCCTCCTCATCATCATCATCATCATCATCATCTCCCTACCTCCCTACCTCCCTACCTCCCTACCTCCCTACCTTCCTAGCTCCTTACCCCTCCCTCCCTCCCTCCCTCCCTCCCTCCCTCCATCCCTCCCCCGCCACCTCCTTCTCTTCCTCCTCCTCCTCCTCCTCCTCCTCCTCCTCCGCCTCGTCATCCTCCTCCTCCTCCTCTTCCTCCTCCTCCCCCCTCCTCGTCCTCCTTCTCCTCCTCCTCCTCCTCCTTCTCCTCGTCCTCGTCTTCGTCCTCATCCTTATCCTCCTTCTTCTCCTCTTCCCTCCCTCCTTCCTCGACCACTTTTCCCTCCCCACCCCGCCGCCCCTGGGCGCGTCTCCCAGTCACCAGGCCTCCTCGATGACGGTCTTCGGCACGTGGCGCACTACCTCCTGGACCTGCACCTGGGGCACCTCGGGGGGGGGGCTGGGAAGGGAAGCATCAGTCTGGCACGCTGACGCGTAAGCAGAGGCTTCGGCAGCCCATCCTGATCCTAAGGGATAGGACGTGAGCGGCCAGCACGGTGGATCCTCCAGCGAAGCAGCACGTATGCTCAGCGAGCGTGGCCAGATCTCGGGCCCGAATCCGTACAGAGAAGGAGAAGGTAGGAAGACAACTCGCGCATTGCGCGTGCACTTCTTGCCGCGCCAGGCAGCCGCTGACCGTGCCGCATGTCGCGTGATACCCGCACGCGTGCCCGCGAGCGTTCGGCAGGCGTCGAGGCTCGAAGCATGCAGCCCAGCACGGCCGACGCAACAGGAAAGCCAGGACAAAAAAATGCGCATCACCAAGAGCCTCCCGGACTCCGACGACTCTCGCGGGCGAAGAGCATATCCGTATCCGCGGCCTCGCGGGCGGGGCCCCTGGGCCCGTGCGGAGCGTATCCGTGCGACCGCATATCCGCGGGATCACGCCGCAGAACCCAGACTGCGAGGGCGCGGACGCGAACCTGTCAACCGCTCGTGAGACCCAAGTGTTCTAACCGCTGTGCCCAAGAGCTCGCTCTCGACGCACTTCCCGGGACTAGCTTCTCCATCCCGAGCCGAGGGCGCCGCGGTCGAGCGCCCCGACCGACGAGGACGCTGGGACGGCGGGATCTCTACATATCAATTGCCCCAGGCCTGGCTCATCCGGCCACGGAGCAGTGTACACGCCCTCCTGGCTTGGCCAGGGATGCATGTGGTCCCGGGTCGAGCGCTCACAGACAACCCACAAATAAGAAGTGTCCCAGGGTTCCACGCCCTCCCCCCCGGATGGGATGGGGGGGAGGGCGACGCCGACGACGACGACGAAGAAGACGAGGACGACGACGACGCCGACGCTGGCGCCGACGCCGACGCCGGCGCCGGTGCCAGCGCCGGCGCCGACGGAAAACGACGACGACGCCAGAGCCGACGCCGACGGAAGACGACGACGACGACGACGACGACGACGACGACGACGACGACGACGACGACGACGGCGACGACGACGACGACGACGGCGAAACACCCCACACCCACAGGGGGACGGGGGGCGGCACCACCACCCACCTCCACGCCACACCCACAGGCAGGGCCGCGACCACAGGGGAGGGGGGGGGGGGGGGGGCGATCGCATTCGCGAGGCCTCCGCGAGGCTCAGGGAGAAGGCTCGATCCCACATGCATCGGGGGGTGGGTACAGGCATCGTGCTGCCACCAGGAACGCCAAGTGAGGAACGAAGGGGATTTTGGGCCGCGGCGAACCTCGGCCACAGGCAGGTTCCCCGACCTGGACCCAAGGAACGGCCCGAGAACCCGAGCCCCTCCTGAGCCCAGAGTTATGTCGGGCGTGTCCCCCTACAGGGGGATTTTCGACGAAAAATAAAAAATACCCCCAAAATAATCCAAAAATAGTCCAAAAATTGTCTGGGGACTATTTTTGTATTTTTTTTTACCTTCGGGGGATATCTTTGGGGTATGTTTTATTTTTCGTCGAAAATCCCCCTGTAGGGGACACGCCCGACATAAGGCTTGACTGTCGGGGGGCAGCCCTGGATCAGAGATGCACCGCTCCTGGGCCCGCCTCGGACGGCGATCTGCGCGGCACCTCCCGGGGGGGGGGGGGGGG